AGCCTCCAAGTCTTCTCTTCTTCTTTTTTTCGTGTATCACGTTGATCAGAAAAGTAATACTAAATCATGACTAATTAATCAACGACGAATTCATATTAAGTCTAATTTGTTAGCAAATACAAATTAAATAATGATCCGACAATGTATATTAAGCTTACATGTTCCGTCATGTACATAGGCCTAGATTTGGAGTCATTGACACTAACTGTGTTTTTTTTTTTTTTCCATTTCAAATAGACTTTCAATTTACTATGAATAAATATCATATAGTACATTGGTAAGTCATGAAAATCACATTCTAAATATGTGCTTCTCAAAAACAATCTCATATAGTAGATTTGGAGTCATTGACCCCAAGTTGTCTAGCAGTAGTGAAGCTAGATTTTCTTTTTCTTTTTTCTTTTTTCTTTTTCGAGGGGAGGTGGCATTTTCAAAATTCTGTAAACAATTACATTTAGTTTTGTAAGTCTTTTAAAACTCCTAAAACTTGGTAATTATATTTCTGTTTATACATTTAGCTCATCCAGTTATATATTTCTGTTATACATCTTACAAGCTGAAGCCCTTGCTTCATTTTTTTGTAATAAACAATTATCATTAATTATTACAGAATGGGTTTTTCCTTACATGAAAAGCATATTTAGATTCCTTTCTTCATTTTTTTTTGTTCTTGGAGAGGTGGCGGTGTATGATAAATGTGCTGTCAGAAACTCTTATTTTGGTCAGAAGTGCTGTCAGAATCTAAGTCAAACCGTTCAGACTAATCTTCTATATAGAACAAAGAACGAACTTTGAACCCCAAAAAAAACGGAAGGGTCGTGGCCAAATATGAAGTTGCACATTTTCAGAAGCAAACCCAGAAACTAAAACCTCGAAAGTACATATTTGCCGGCGGACTAATGAATTTTTTAGCGAAAGTGTAATTTTGAAAGGCTAAAATTTATATTATGAACCAGTTTGAATTACATTTCAATTTACTTTGGAAGCTTAATCAATACAATATTTTCTTTTTTAGCATAAGACTTAATTGATGAATAAGTTCTTATAAAGAGTGCTGCTATTTCCACTATTTATCCTATTTTCCCACCCACCACACAATTTTATCTTTCCACCCATTATTATTCCTAAAATACATTTTAATTATTAATTCAAGTAAAACTTAGAAATCAAGCAAAACATTAAAAAAAAATTACCCAAACAAACCCAACAATCTCTTCCTATTCTTCTTCCAATTCTTTTCTTCAATCACAATTCCAGAAAAATTCCCGAAAAACAACATGTGACATTGGACATACCGGCTTGTAACTAGACATACCACCTACATCGACCCAAAAAAAAGAAAGACATACCACCTATAAATATGGTTGTGCACTGTCGTCAAATCTCATTACCCAGACACTAAATAGAGTTGTTACTAAAAACATAGAATAATTATATATATATATATATATATAAAATGGTTTATAAGGCTGAGAGTAGAGACAACTTGGCAGTAAGAATTATTCCTAACTCAAATTTGTATTTATTTTTAGTCTCACAAAAATATTTAAAAAGATTTGTTTTGTAGTTCATTTGTAATACATGCGTTAACGTTGCAGTTGGATTTGGAAAGAAACAAGCTAGCCCAGTATGCTATTCAGTTTATGGTGCAGAGGAGGGTGATACGTCTACTTTTGTCATTAAAAAGTTCAATTTGAGTATTTATTTTTTCCTTTCTATCAACCCTAATATCAATTGCGACAACTTCTTTGTGAGTCAATGGCTTATATTAAAGGGACTGCAAACTGAGCTTCAAGTTTGGTCCGGGGGGGTGGTGTTTGACAGGGATGAGGGAAGAATAGGTAGGTTACGGGAAATAAGACAGGGTATCAGAAGTCATTTTACAAAGAGGTAATTTTGTTTTTAAAATTTTGAAGATAAGGTGGGTGGGGAAATAGGACAGGGGATGGAAATAGCAGTACTCTTTATAAAAGACTGGAGTTCTCTAAAAAATATATATATAATAATAAATCAAGAAAATAAACAGACTTGATAGTGGAGACATTTTTATTTATGTATGAATTTGATGATTTTATCGACTTGGATTGGTGGGAATCTCTCAAAAAGGGACATTAAAAAAAGAAGCAAAATCTCGTTAATAGAAGGAGTTTCCTCATGTTCCATTTACAGTATGAACCTTTTTTTATTTTTATTTGTCTTGGGTCAAAACGACGCGCAACAAAGGAAAGCGCTATGAGGCCTTTTGTCAAACAAGTGGTGTGCACAACTAGATTGAGCGGAGGTGCAACTTTCTGATACTTGCAACTCTTTTTCCGGCGAAAGAAGATACAGTTACACCTCCTCACACCTTTGTAGGTCCGCCACTCATGGCTTACGCAATGCATGACATACTCCATGCAAATCACTTGCTTTAATCATATACACACTAAAAATCATCACTAGATTAATTCCATGTACACAATTCTATAAACTATACTCATCCAATATCCAAAATAATTAAGATGGATGGTATACATTATTGACACCAATGTGAATTTGACTAAACTACTAGAATCTAAAAATCTCATATGACAAAAACTCCCTGCTTTTCACTAAACTCGCTTTTTGGCATGTGCGCTCTCAAATAATTGACTATTTAGCATATTAATATGGGATATTCACTATTATACCCAATATAGGAGCCCAAATTACTTATTATTTTAAAATAAAAAATTAAAAAAAAACCTTATATGAAATGGACTTTAGAAACACACCTAAAGCTCATTTACAACATAATAAAAAAGCTTTTAACTTCTTTTAAATTACAAAACTGCCATTGATTTATTAAAATAAGCTCAACCCTCATAAAAAATCCCAAAACACTCAATAGACATCAAAGTAATTTAATAATCAAAATTAAATTCAATAGGGCTAGCTATCATTTTTTGTTTTTTTTGGTTTGTTTATAGAAATTAAATAGTGTAGAGTTTATTTATAGTTTTAGTGCTAAGAATGGGTATATGACTAAATATCTCTATTAATAATAGTATGGCCTTATTGATTTTGAAGAATGCGATTCCAATTATAACCACATACAATTATAATTTATAACCATGCTAATCTCAAAGACATTTTTTGCTTCCAAATTAAGGCTACAAATACTTGGTTTATATAGGAAACAAATCTTGTTCATTCCCTATCATCATCTCTCATCTCCTTCTCTATCTTTATAGTTCAAAATGAAACCAAAATCTAAATCCGGACTTTTAAATATCCCTTTCATTTACTAGTCGGAATTTTTATAGGATAAGTGGCAGCATATACTAAATAAAAAAGATTTCGTGTCAATTTGTCTAGAGACATAAGCAGATATAAATATAGGACTTTTGTTTGCTGTCTTTGACAGCATGCACAGGCTGAGACATATACGTATCCACAAGCTCACACGAAATCAAGATCATCTTTGTGTATAGATATAGAATACAGTTACTTTTAGGGTTTGTAACCCACAAACAACTACTTAAAGGTCTGAACATGAAGTCGGTCAAAGAGACAACAATCAATTCTCACGGTGGCTTTAGGACTTGCTTAAAAAATACACTTACAATCTGGCCTCTGGGTGGGTGTTTACTTGGACCCGATTCTCTGGCTGTCTTCCATTACTTTGATATTGTTTTCTATCTTTCCTATTCAAAAGTCTGGAGCTTTCCTTCTTGACACCTGTATGCATTTGAAAGGGAAACCCCTTTTAATTTCCTGAGCACCAAGGATCTTTGTGTTTGTGGTGATAACCACTGACTGGAGAGAGAGAGAGAGAGAGAGAGAGATAGAGAGAGAGAGAGAGCTCTTATCAATTGGCAATGACAAAAAGTCAAAGACGCCAGAATATAATTTGTCATTTGATAAATAAATAAAAAGATATTTAAAGGATAACTAATGAACTTGATAACCAATTTTTTTAAAACTCTGATCCTATTTCTAATTGTAACCTTTTATTTATTTTTTGGTTGTTTAAATGGAGTGAATGAACCCTAGACATAACCTGATTATGATCCATTTTTTCAACTATTCTCACCACTTGGGCTAACCCCAAGAACTTCTGATTCTGATTTATTTTTTTCAACCAAAAACGTGGATTAATACATTTATTTCTATTTTCATTCCATTCACATTCCCCCAACCAACGACTAGAACTATAAATTTAAGTGATGAGTGTAGTATTGCTCATTGACCCATTAACTTTTTTTTTAAGTACACGCAACAATCTAAATTAGGACGGGAGTTTTTCTAATACACAACTATAATGCCGGAGACCTCTTATCTGAAAGTCAAAACTCTTTTTTATTAGAATTGACCCATTGATGGCCCATTAACTAATTTAATAAATAATTTATGGGTAAAAAGTTCTCATCAAACGCGAAAGTAAATCTTACAGAACAAAACAATAATATGATTGGTCAGCAAAGCACTTCAAAGGCTTTTAAAGACGGAAATTATGGAGAGAACTATTTTTTTCACCCTCGGTATATATTTGCAAGCCGCCCACGAATAGCATGGGCTGTAAAAGAACATTCCCGAATCAGCGGGCGGTATTTTGAATCGAGCAATCCAAATTCCAAACCGGGGGCCTGGGCCCAAAAATAAAACTATTGAATTTATCCAGTTTCAGTATTGCTTTCCTTCCCCAGACAATAAATAATTGAAGGTTGTAAGAAATTCATGCAGGACCTGCTTAAACCAAAGAATTATCGTGTGGAGAACGTTCAAAACTGTCGTGCTGTTTGTGCCTAATGGTAGCGTTATAAAATTACGTGGGAAATACTAGTGGGGCATAGCTCAATTGGTTGAGGGCTTCCACCTCTTTTTTATTATTATTATTTTTTTCAGTATGAGAGCTCTTCCACCTCTATCCATATGGGAAGAGGTTCAAAACCCCAAGCACCTACTGTCCTAATCGCTTGTACTAAAAAAAATTTACATGTGGGAAATTGTCATTAGAAAAAAAAAGGACAAAGGGTTGATGCCATAAGCCTCTCCCATTCCTAATTTGTATATGCAATCACAACACATATTGGAAACTTAATCATCACTCATGCATGAAGCTAGATTTTACAGCATTTCCCTCTATGGACTTTGAGACCTCGGTTCGAAAAAGGGCAAGGGGGTTTTCGAAGAGCAGAGTGCGGGGATGAAGTGTTTTAAGGGGTTATAACAAAGTGGTAGAAGAAAAAACTAGTCTAAGACCACCAAAGAAGAGAGCAAGGAAAAGAAGAAAAAAAAATCACCGTCGAAAATGCCAGAGATGTTTGTCTGCAAAATTGAAGCAGCAACTGGCCCATAATGCACAAGATGGGTGAACCTTTGTGCAAGACACTACATTTTCAATTGATGAAACAAATTCCAAGTGTTCTATTTGCACGCGCCCTTGGGACTGCAAGCTATTTGTCTTAGCTCAGTACTTTCATCTCTTTGTCCCTGGTGAATTCTTCTTTTTCATCCTGCAAAAGTAAAAACCTATGATTTTAGTGCATATGGGCAAAAACTATCAAATAACTCATTCGCTTAGAAAGGGAATCAGATTAACTCTGGCAACAAAAAAAGACAATAAAAAGGAAATCCAAATAAGAAATAGGAATAGCCAATATCAGTCTGAGAAGGCATTTAGACAAAAGTAAATTGAGTGAAAACTAGCAAATAAACCCACCACTGTAAATTGGTTCAGAGACCTCAGAACTTTAGTTAAACCACCTCTTCCGTCAGCTTGTACAGCTTGGATCTTGTGCTATTGCCGATCTGTTCTTATGCTTCTGCTTGCACCATTTACCTAAATACCTGTTTGTTCCATCAGGACCAAGCAAGCCACCAGAAAAGCATGCATCCCCTGCATTTTAATGAGGAACACAAAAATAAAGTTACATTTCATATTGTAATGTTGTTCAGGTAAATGTAACTTATTTCATGCTGTACTGCCCAGCCAAACTCAAAATGAATTCAAGTAAACCTGGTCTGGGAAGTGGTTGTGGGATAGGAGATTCGTTTCTGATGTTCATCATGGGTTGAACTTGTTCATCGTCATCAATAATCACAACATCAGCAATATCAGCAGCAGGAGTCTTGGCAATATCCGCACAAGTACCAGTTATTGAACCCAACTGCTCAACCGGATTGCTCAGTCCAAGAACTGAAGTTTCTTTCTTTCTATCAGAAGCTGCCTCTGACATTAACCAAGTACACTTATGGTTAGCAACATCCAAGCAGGTTTCTTTTTTTGAATTAGGATTTGAAATTCCATGCACAGTTGTAGAAAACTTTGAAGCATGTCATCTACTAAAGAGTAGGCATCTCTTACTTTATCACAAGCACTGATATTTGTGACATCTTTAGCACAATTTTGATTTATATGGTTAGTGAAATTGAAGTTTTATGTTGCCCTATGATACAGTAGATCATTCTGCAAGCTTCTATCTATCCAAATTACATGCGAGATCATACAGATGTTTTCTTTGATTTAAATGAAATGCTGAGAGACACAGTTAGACTTACGATTTACACCGTGCTGAATAAATCCTCCACCTCGAGTTTTCTTTGAAGCTTTTAAAGCCCTCAAAACTTCAGTATTCTTAACTTCAACAGCAGTCTCCAATTCTTGTACCTTCGTCTGATAATGACCAAAAAAATCACTAAATCAGGAACCGCTCCTCAAATAAGATTCACATAGGATCATCTCATCACAAACTTACCTTCAATTTATTTATCTTTCCTCTAGCCTTCTCTAGCTTTTTGCTGTGACGAGCTTCTTTCTGTTCAAGAAGATTGTATTTGGCCATCAATTCTTTGTAATTCCTATGAGAAGTAGGTATCGCAAAGAAAACAAATTAAAACATGAGAAAGAAACAAGGTATACATAAGTAAAATGAAGAGGTGGCTACCACTTCAACTTTATTTAGATAAAAACACAAAAGTAAATGCCGAACAGTTTGCTCCATCCATTGAAATCAACTAAATTTCAAAGTAAGAATATACGGCTGACCTATTAGACATCACCAAGGACGTTCTTAGAACATCTATTGTGTCTTTGTTGTCGGCTCCATTACCAAGAGCTGCAATCTTTAAAACGTCCTCTTCATCCAGATCTAGATCAGATACCCTGGATTGCAACTCACATAACCATGTTAGGAGCAGAAAACAAAACAGGTCATTGAGAGATTAAGTAGCCTATACTAGCCTTCGGGCTTTGGCTCACGCAAATTTCTGAAACAAAATAGTAATAATCCATTAAAAAAAACTACTTGCCGTGGTGCAAAACCACTCACAGTTCAACTGCTGCAAGCTCTTTGTCCAATGCTCTATTTCTTTCTTGCAACCTCAAGCACTCCATAGTCAATTTATCAAATTCCTACAAATTTTTTTACCAAAACTTCATCAGCTTCTTTTTTTCTTCTCATAATAAATTTACATAATTTAAAAATATATTTAAAGAAGTACAGCTAATAGCTTACCTTAGATTTCATATGAAGCAGCTGTTGCATGGATATTTGTTGTTTCAAGGCTTCATTCTTTAATTCAACTTCTTTTTTTACCTGCTCCTTGGATAGATAAAGCTGAAAAACCACATGAACACAAAGCAAGCTGTTATAATCTTGCACAAAATAAACCACTGAAGATCCAGGGTTTTGATATTTCTATCTTGCACAAAATCTTGAACAAAACGGGCTTTGGTTTTCAAGTTTCCTTTCAATGTAGGAAAATGGAAACAAACTTTGAGCATTTTGTTTCCAATGTTTTAAATTCCTCAATTAAGCCAAACTACCTTATCAATTCGAGTACTCTAAGTTGCAATTATATTGCTTTTTTTAAGTGGAATAGCAAAACGGAAACCCCAATTTACCAGACTTCCTAATCCTACTTTCTTTTCATTGTTTTTCCCAAGATTTCTCAGTAACCAAACAGAAAATAATGAGAATCCAGTACATTGCAAATACCTCCTGGTTGAGCGCTTTGACCTCCTTCTCCTTACGCTCCAAAGCCGAACCATGCCCTAGCGCCATGGCCTCCAACCTTCTCACCTCTTGACGCAACGCCTCGGAATCTTCCTCGCGTTCGATAACCGGCCTCTGAGTGAGACCCGAATCACCCCATTGAAAATAAAGCCGAGCGACGTCGTTTGGCTTGCAACTTTGTTTGCACACCGGGCAACTGTACTTCTTCTTGCTCGCATAGTACCCGAACCACTCTTGCAGACTAGGGTTTTACAGACAAAACGCAGCGTTTGAAGCATTAATTTTCAAGAAATGCATACATAGAAATTATAAATGAAATAGAGAGAGAGAGAGAGAGAGAGAGAGAGAGAGAGAGACCAGAGCTCGTGGAAGACATGGCCGCAGATGGAGATGACTTGGAGATCCTCAACAATGGGATCGAAATCTTTGTAGCAGAGTGAGCAAATGGTTTTGCTAAAGGCGTTGCAATTCACCATCTCTCTTGTCTCTACCTCCTCCTGGGGTTTCGGCGTTTCGCTTTATTTCTCTCGTGATTTTTGTCGGGAAAATGGAGCGAAATTTTGAAAAGAAAAAAAACCGAACCGAGCGGGAAGATTCCATTTTTTTTCAGAGAACTGAGCGGGAAGAAGATGGAAGAGGTTAAAAACAACGATGGGTTACATGTTGGAAAATTATAGAAATGCCCCTCAATTATTTAATTTCTGTGCATAAAAATACCAATAAGTATCGCAATGGGCTTATAGCTCACGAGTTAAGAGCATTTAACCATGTATCCGAAGTCCTAGATTCGATTTCTCCTATTTATGATGAATTCAATGCTTGATTGTGACTAACCCATTGTAGCGGCATAACTTTGTTGCAGCTAAATTATAGTATTATGAAAATAGATTTGTAAAAGAAAGAAAGAAACTAGGGATATATCATACACTAGAAGACTTCACTGAAAAAAATAAAAAGGATACAAGTCTTTTTGTCCTTTGCTTGGAATAAGAGTACAATTTGGAAATAACGGAAATTTGAGTAATATACAAGTATATTATTAATTATCTTTAGTTTTTAGTTGCGTTATTAAAATAATGTTGGGCTGCTTTTGTGATACTCTTGCGTCATGGCATTCATGCAAGGCAGAAGGTTCATTGAAGTGATTTTGTATTGAGATTTGTCCAAGGGGCATAAGAGAAAACTGCACCCTGGTTCATTTTGAACTGGCACACAAGTTATGCTATAGACAACAAAATGGGAGAAACTTTTTACAAGAAGACACATCATTTTGAACGGAAGAAACAAATCCCATCAGCCATCGTTCAAGACATTTCTTTTCTCTTAACTTAAGTAGTAACCACTGATATTTCTGGACATCTGCATAGGGTTTGTCTTCGGCTGCGTAGGATAACAAAGAGACGGATTAGATTATATGAACAGATTAAAAAAAAAAAATCAAATTAATAATTTAAGATGGAATATCAATAAAAACCAATTCATAAATAGGAACTAACAAATCCATTTGCTTCTACCATTCGTTACTCTTTCATGTAACTCAACATTGCAAAGCCATAAATATGCGCACCTTCAAACACTTGATTAGTTGCCAACCCTTCCAAAGAAGTGTTCTATTTGCAAGCACCCTTGGGACTGCGAACTGTTTGTCTTAGCTCCAGTCTTGCACCTCTTGGTCCCTGATGAATTCTCCTTATTATCCTGCAAACGTAAAAATATCGACATGCTTAACATTTGTAACATTGTCAAATTAGAGAAAACTAATTTAAATGTAAACAAACACATAAACCCACCACTGTCAATTGATTCAAAGATCTCAGAACTTTGATTCTACCGCCTCTTCCGTCAGCTCCTACAGCAATCAAACAACCAGTATCTGCACTTGATTCTGATCCCCTGTTCAGACCCCGCTTGCACCATTTACCTAAATATCTGTTTGTTCCATCAGGCCCAAGCAAGCCACCAGAAAAACATATATCCCCTGCATTTGGAAGAGAAATAACAAAAACAAAGTTAAGTTTTTCTTATCTTCAGAATCATTTCATGATGCATTTCCCAGTCGAACTCAAAAATGCATCAATAATATACCTGGACTGGGAAGTGGTTGTGGGATAGGAGACTCCTTTCTGATGTTAAAAATGGGTTGAACTTGTTCAACATCATCAAGAATCACAACATCAGCCATATCAGCAGCAGGGGTCTTGGCAGTATTCTTAGAGGTACCAGTTATTGAACTGAAAGGCTCAACCAAATTGCTTAGTCCAATGACTGAAGTTTCTTTCTTAGTATCAGAAGCTGCCTCTGACCTCAACCGAGTACACTTCTGGATAGCAACACCGTCATAGGTTTGTTCTTTCAAATTGAGATTTGAAAGTCCATGCTTAGTTGTGGAAACTTTTGAAGCATCTTCATCTATTAAGGAGTAGGCATCTCTTACTTTATCATGAGCAGGGGTCCTTGTACCATAATTGGTACAATTTTCATCCATATGATCAATGAAATTGAAGTTTTCTGTTCTCCTATGGCACAGTAGATCATTTTCCAAGTTTTCAGTCTTATTCAACTTACGCTTGGGAGCATACAGATGTTCTCGTTGATCTTCGGATGAGTTGTTGACAGGCATTGATTTAAAGTTACATTGTACACCATTCTGCATAACTCCTTCACCCCGAGTTTTCTTTGAAGCTTTTAAATCCCTCAAATCTTCATTATCTTTTACTTCAACAGCCATCTCCAGTTCTTGTACCCTATTCTGATAACGGCCACAAAATCACTTAGATCAGGTTCCACTCATCGATTGATATTCACTTCAGATCATCTCATCACAAACTTACCTTCAATTTTTTAATCTTTTCTTTAGCCTCCTTCTCAAGTTTTTTGCTCTCACGGGCTTCTCGTGCAATACCATTGTATTTGTTTATCAATTCTTTGTAGTTCCTATGAGAAATATGCATGGCAAATAATGTAAATTAAAACATGAGAAAGAGACAAAGTATAAAAGGATGAAATGAGAAATGACCACTGCTTAAAATCACTTGAGAGAGAAGCATTTGAGCAAATGTCAAACAGTTTGCTCCATCCATAAAGGCTGAGTAAATTTCAAGATAAGATTTATATGGCTGACCTTTTACTCATCTCCAAGGACTTTCTTAGAATATCTATCGTGTCTTTGGTGTTGGCCCCATTACCAAGAGTGGAAAGCTTTAGAACCTCATCTTCATTCAGATCTAAATCAGATACCCTAGATTGCAACCCACATAACCATGTTAGGAGCAGAAAAAGAAAACAAGTATTTGAGAGATTAGATTGCCTATAACATAATAGCCCTTTGCTTGGGCTAAGGAGGCAAAGCATGTGTGGGGTTGACGTAAGTCTTATGTTTAACTCTTTCTGATTAACAAAATGATAAAGAACCATTAGAAAAACTACCACTCATAGTGAAACCACTCACAATTTGAATGCTGCAAGCTCTTTGGCCAATGCCATGTTTCTGTCTTGCAACCTCAAGCGCTCCATAGTCGATTTATCAAGGGCCTACCAAAAAAATTACCACTTTATCAGATTTATAAAATCAATCAAAGACTATTTAAAAATGCATTTAATGAAGAACCAAAGTTCATGGTTTACCTCAGATTTCATATGAAGCTGCTGCTGCACAGATGCTTGTTGTTTCAAGGCTTCATTCTTCAACACTGCTTCTTTCTTTGCCTCATCCTTGCATAGACAAAGCTGAAATAAAACTTTCCTCATAAGAACCACATAAAGCTGCTACAATCTTGCGCAAAATAAATCACTGAATATCCAGAGTTCTATTATTTGTATCATCTCCCCCCCACCTTTACTGAGTTTCCATGAATAGAAATTAAATCATAAACCTTATAACCTTCTATAATACGAAATTTTGGAAACTTTCCTCAAACTTTTGCAACATTTGTTTCTAATTTTCCTTCTGATTAAGTAAAAGCAAACAAACTTTTCAGTATTATGTTTACATTGTTTTAAATTCCCAGTTAAGCCAAACTATACTATCAAATGACAGAATAGTACCAAATTACAAATCATCTAACATTCAAAGTCAATTCTCTGGCTGAAATTACAACTATTGTGCTTTATTTTTTTTCTCCAATTTCCAAAGGTACCGTAAAACGAAAAACAAACTAATCCAAATGTGTAATCGAACTCAAATAGTAGAACACGAATTTACCAAAGTTCAAATTCTAAGTCATTTTCTTTGTTCTTCCCCTTATTTCTCAGAAGCCAAACAATGCATAATGAGAATCCAATACCTCCTCTTTGAGCTCTTTAAGCTCCTTCCCCTGAAGATCAAAAGCCGAACGAAGCCCTAGCGCCGTGACCTCCAACCTTTTCACCTCTCGACGCAACACCACGGGATCTTCCTCGCATTGGTTAATCGGCCTCTGAGTGAGACTGGGATCTGCTGAGTCCCCCACCGACTGAAAATAAAGTCGACCGGCATCCTTTTCTTTGCAATTTTGCTTGCACACCGGGCAAGTGTATCTCTTCGTCTTCGCAGAGTACTCGAACCACTGTTGCAGACTAGGGTTTCACACAGCAACGTCACCGTTTTGACATTAATTTCCAATCAATGCATACATTGAGATTAGAGAAAACAATAACACATTATATCCATATATATGTGGAGATGAGAGAGAGATAGATACCAGAGCTCGTGGAAGACATGACCGCAGATGGTGATGACTTGGAGATCCTCGACAATGGGCTTGAGATCTTCGTAACAGATTGAACAAATGGTTTTGGCGCAGCTATTGCAATCTGCATCGCCCATCTCTCTAGTCTCTGCTATGAGGTTTCAAGCTTTCGCTTTATTTCTGTCATGATTTTCTCGGGAAAATGGAGCGAAATTTGAAAAACATAGAGAACTGAGCGGGAGAAGATGGAAGAGGAGGGAGGGGAAAACCAAGCACCCAAAATGCATATGTTCACAATTGGTGCACGCACTGCTCACGTGCAGGCCATGTCAATTTTTTGGGTTTTAACAGAAATGGTTCCCAACTATTGTTGGAGTTTCATTTTGTTCAACCAACTAAAAAAAAAAATCATCCTAACTAAAAAGCATTCATTGAAAAATGTCACAAACTCTTTGTAATATGCACTTTCATTCTATGATCTCAAATTCACAATTTAACCCCAAAAATCTCATTTCCAAGTTCCACATAAAATTGAAAAACTAAAATCAAATATCAAAAAGCTTTTAAACAATTTTTTGTTTATTTGAAAACTGAAATTGGTTACCAAACAAGTTTTATGCTTTCAATTTCTTGAACCTATGTATGACTTCATTCCACCGTTAATTGCCTATGTGGCAAGTGCAAGGCTCATTTTTAAGAGACAGTGAGACCATACCCTGGCGTCCCATGCTAGGATTCAAGATGTTGATTACAGCCATAATTTGGAATGCAAACAAATTTTTGGGAGGTATGCTTTATGTTTGACTACAAATTGGGCGATATAAATGCAAAAATGTTCTTAACGATATGATGGGGTGTGGTCTTGTTGTTTTTGGAGTTGAGTATCATTACTTGCCACGTTGGTAGTTAATAAAGGGTTAACAAGGTCTAACCTAGTGAAAAAGTCATTGACTCACAGATTAGTAGTTTTAGGTTTGAATATCTATGACACCTTGTTAGTGTGTATGAGAACCCCATTCCCTTTAGTTTAGATTATCACTTATTTTTTATATATATAAAAAAAGAAGAAAAAAAGAAGAAGGAATAGATGATCATACACGCATAAGACTTAAAATGATAACATTTTACAAGTTTGGGTAGTAATGTGAACAAATTGAAATGTAGTGTCCATTTTAAAAGTCACAATGAACCTCATGCTTTGGCTCGAGTTTGAGCCCGAGTTTTAATTAGGTTGAGAATTATTTAATTCAACTCTAACATATAACCGTTTGAGTTGGATTCAAGTTAAGTTCAGATTAGATCTCACACATAACTAATTCAATACAACAAATAAAAGGAAATGAAATCAAAAGAGACTCCAACCCTCCATGGTTTATCAACTAAAAATACTAAAACAATGATGATGATGATATAACTTGTTAGTAAGTATAATTTCCTTAAATGTTCATTGCATAAGAATTATTATTATGAGATAACATTACATATAAACACAACCATAATCCATCAACAACTACATATTAAGAAACTTAAAAATAAGATATGTAATTAACCTTGACAATAGGAAAGACATGTAACTAATAAATTTAGAATATCACATGAAGGAAGAATAAAATATTTTTATTATAAAATTTCAACCCAAACTCAAATTAGGGTTGAAATTTAGTTCGGTCATTTTCTTGCACAATTCGGACTCAAAAGTCGGGTTAGGGTTCGGACGGGTTTAGGTTGGCCCAACTAAAAAACGAAGTGAAAAAGGAAGAAAAAGGGAATGTTTTTCTTAATCAGAAAAAGAAAAGGAATGTCGTGAGGGCAGAAGCAAGCGAATCAAATTGAAACAGCAGACCAAATAGAAAGCGTATGAAAACAATAAAAATAAAAATCAAAGCTACAATGCTTCTGCTTCCAGCTTGTTTTTAGATGCATTCTTACTCTCAAAATTACCCTCAATCATTACACCGTTTGTATCACAATGGAAGGGTAAAATGGTCACTAAAGTTATTGAATATTCATTGTAGTCTTCGTCCACGAACTTCCTCTCTCTCGCTCGCTCTCGCCCTCGCCCTCAATCTAACCCAAACCAGACCAAGCAAAGAAGAAAGAGGCAAACTCTCTGCCACTCTTTCTCTCTCTCTCTCTCGCCCAGTGGATTCGCATAGAGGTGGACTTTCCATTTTCCGATTTGCTTTTAATTATTTTGGATTTTCTTTTTCTAATTTTTACAGCGTCCAAATTAGGAACAGTATTTGTTGATTTTTGCTTATAGTGTGAGGAAATGGTATAAATTGTTCAGTAATTTCTGTAATGTTTGGGGGTTCAAATTCTAGAGAGTCTGTTGCGACAATTGGAGCTCTGAATATAGGGATGGTGGAGCTTTGAATCGAATGGTATATTTTGTAATTTCTTGATCAATTTGTTTGGCTGGTGAGATTACAGAGCTAAATGATGAAAAACTGGAAATGGAGTCACCAACTCCAGTAATCTAGCAGCTGAAAACGCCATCAAAACTAGAGCATCTGTTTTTCATTTTAACATGCATTTCTTCTGTATCGTAATTTTAGACAACATTCATTATCTTCACCTTGTTTTAATTTTTGAGTCCTATAATATGTTTCTAGTAATGAATCGCTGTTTTTTTTTTCTTGGACTGCTCCTACTTTAATTTGTTCTGTAATGTGTTCAAGTTTTATCTGAATCTGAATCATGGTTTCAGAGTTGAACTTTTAAGCTATTAAATTGAAAAATGATCATTGCTGAATGGGAAATAATGTGCTCCAGGGTTTCCATTTCTGGGATTTTGAAAATTCATTTTGTAACAATGATGGCTCCAAAATTTTCAATAGTGTGCTCCGTTGACATTAAAGATATCCCTTTATGAGATATTATGTATAAAAGGCCCGTTTCTTGTTTCGTGGGACTAGCAAACATGCACATTCATGTTTTGCTCAAGAGTTGGGTTTATTAGAAGTCTTAAATTTATTTTTGTGATTTGAGCAACAAAATTTTGGTTCTCGATTGAAGAGTGCAGTTAATATGTCTGTAATGGATGGAACTGTTGGCTGGATGTTGGCTGTATCATTTGTGAGCTCCAATGGTGACTTTATTGATTGTGCTTCACTGCTGATTTTTCTTGAACTAGATGAAAGAGAGTAGAGACGGAATCAGAAGCAGTAGACATTCAAAATCTTCATCTGTTAGCTCACTTCCACTCATCTTGGACATAGACGACTTTAAGGTGAAAAACTGCAAAATATATCATTACCTTATGTAACTATTGTAGTATACCAATGATGCACATGGGCATTAATGTAAAGTAAAGATTGTAATTCCTTGGGATTTAATTTGCAGGGGGAGTTTTCATTTGATGCATTGTTTGGGAACCTGGTAAATGATCTTCTCCCATCTTTTAAAGAAGAAGAAACAGATATATCTGAAGGTCATAGCAACATCAGTGGGAACGATGGTTTGTCAAATGGACATATGCGAGCACCATCGGATGCAGCAAAGTTTGCGCAAGGACTGTCAGACCCTCTATTTCCAGAAGTAGATAAGATCTTATCTCTGTTCAAGGATTCTTGCAAAGAGTTGGTTGATCTCCAGAAACAGGTATGCCTTGTGACAGCGTAGGTATTGGACTTACAAAGTCATTTCAATTTTTTCTGAAGTTGTTGATTTCCCCCTCTTACCCTTGAAGATTGATGGAAGACTCAACAATCTTAAGAAGGACGTTTCTGTACAAGACTCTAAGCACCGCAAGACACTTGCTGAGGTTAGTTAGTAGAGGGCATACATTTGACTGTTTATTCTATTCAGAAAATGTTTTGCACACTGTACTCGAAGAAGGAGCAGCAGTCCTTTTCAACTGGGAAATGTTATTGTCAGAGCTCAGACTATCATCGTTAGAGCTCAACATGGATATTGGGGTTGGACTTGATGCATTTCTCTAAGCTGGAAATGACATTTCCCTGTTGAAAATATATGGAAATTACTGCATCTGGCCTTTTGTGATTTTCACCTATCGTTTGGTAACCAGTATCATATGTGAAGGATTCCATGGAAGTAACATTTATGCTTCTCGTTACTGTTAGATAAAACCAATTGTTTACTATTTTAACTTGCTTTTTTAACATGGTTTTCCACCAATGTTAAAGTGAAAACATGTAAATCTTTCACAAAGTGAGGAATCTAAAGTCCAAAAGTGCTTTGAATCTCAAAGCATTAGATGAATCTGAATTGAATAGGAATCACAAATTTGACTGTATTAGTTATGCATGTTATTTCTCAGCTTGAAAAAGGAGTAGACGGCTTGTTTGGTAGCTTTGCCAGGTTGGATTCTCGTATATCAAGTGTTGGACAGACTGCTGCAAAAATAGGAGATCATCTGCAGGTGAAGTTTGTCCTATGCTTGGTTGCTAGTGCATATGCTTTAACGTCCAAAGTTGTACTTGTTAATGATTTCTACTGTGCAATTATTTCTTTAACTCTTTGTTAATTTGTGTTTGTAATTTGTGGGTTTTCCTTGTCAGAGTGCAGATGCTCAGCGGGATACTGCTAGTCAAACGATAGAGCTCATAAAGGTAGTCAGGGTCCATTTATTATATGCTACCCTTTATTTTTAATAAGTTAACACCTTGTTATCATAATCCTTGCAGTACTTGATGGAATTTAATAGCAGCCCAGGCGATCTAATGGAACTTTCACCCCTATTTTCCGATGATAGTCGTGTTGCAGAGGCTGCTAAAATTGCACAGAAACTGCGTAAGATGGCATTATCATCTTAAAAAATCTGTAGTTATTTTCTAAGGCACACTATTTATGAGCATCTCTCTCTCTCTCTCTCTCCTCCCTCTTACTCTTTTTCTAGAAATGGGTATCAAAGACACTTGGGGGTAGCCAGTAGCTGTGATTCGTTTGCAAGATATGGTCATGAAATATTCTTAGGTGAATGAAACTAGATTAAATTTGCGTCCGACTTGTGTAGATATGACTTCATGAGTGTATGCAAATAATTACCATCCTCCGTCATGAGTGTTTGGCACCCTATAGAGTTGTAGAAGAAACTGATCATGTCAGTGTGATATCCTTTAAGAACAGACTTGTAATTTTCGATAATACCATCCAATATCCGACTGTGTAGATATGACTTCATGAGTGTATGCAAATAATTACCATCCTCCGTCAAGAGTGTTTAGCACCCTATAGAGTTGTAGAAGAAACTGATAATGTCTGTGTGCTGATAATGTCAATGTGATATCCTTTAAGAACAGACTTGTAATTTATGATAATACCGTCCAATATCCTGGCAATGGGGAGAAAAATGTGATTATTGCTTTTGGTAAATAAGTTTCGTTCACGAATGGATTTTAGGAGTGGTAAAAGTTCTCTTCATTGCAATAATAACCTTCCATGCTTCTATCAATATTAGGGGCATTTGCTGAGGAAGATATTGGAAGACAAGGTATAGCTGTACCATCAGTTATGGGCAATGCAACAGCTAGCAGAGGATTAGAAGTTGCAGTTGCTAATCTTCAGGACTACTGCAATGGTATGTATGTAGTCACAAAAATATTATGTCTAGTTGGGATCCATGTTATCTTTTGAAGTCACTGTGCCAAAAACTTTATTCAAAACTAATGAAGTACCTTCTTAATGATTCTATATGAAAATGTGGAATCCTAGTGATTGATTTTAATCAAGGTTCTTTTTCTTCTTACCTTCTTAATAGAATTGGAGAACAGATTGCTAGCTCGTTTTGATGCTGCATCACAGAGAAGAGAATTGTCAACCATGGCAGAATGTGCTAAAATTTTATCTCAGGTAATAATTGTTTAGACCTAATAGATCATGATATTCTTAGATTTTAACACCAAAACTCCAGGCCTCTCTCTCTCAAGCTCTAATTTCATACCGTATCAGATATTTTTACAGCTTTTATTCATTAGAAAAATCCCTTTGCCTTATTTTGTTTAATTTAAATTGCAATGCAGTTTAACAGGGGCACTAGTGCCATGCAACATTATGTGGCAACACGTCCAATGTTTATTGACGTGGAAGTCATGAATGCAGATACCAGATTGGTTCTTGGTGATGAGGGTTCACAGGCTAGTCCTAGCAATGTTGCTCGTGGACTTTCTTCTTTATATAAAGAAATCACAGGTTTAAAAAATGCCATTGATCGAGATTAGAGGTTATATTCCTCAATATATTTGTTATATCTTTGTTTCTATTGCAGACACTGTGCGCAAGGAAGCTGCAACAATTATGGCTGTATTCCCTTCTCCTAATGAAGTTATGTCAATCTTAGTTCAGGTACCAACCAGGATTTTACTTTATTTTATTCTTTTTATCTTTTTTGCATGAGTGTATCTTTGCTCCCCACACTTCACCCAGTTGTAGCCTAACCATCCCCTTCTAAGCCTGCCATGCATCATATAAACCATTGGGCAAACCCTTTGCAATCAAGACATCCCATCTGGATGCATTGACTGCAGTGTTAACCCAGGGTTAGTTTATATAACACATAGGCTTGGAAGGGATTGGTAAGCCTACATGTTGGCTAAGGGTGACGACGAAAAATGACTCCTTTTGGGTTCATTTTGGTTCCATGTTAATGAAGTACTTGATTTTTTTTTTTTCACCTTTATAACTAGTTTTCTTACGTTGGGTGCAGCGAGTTTTAGAGCAGAGAGTTACTGCTCTACTTGACAAATTATTAGTTAAGCCATCTCTGGTGAATATACCTCCTATAGAAGAAGGCGGACTTCTACTAGTGAGTAAATTTACTATGGCTGTTTCCTCCCTCCCTCCTCTCTTTCTTGCACACTAAATGCTTTTGAACTAACAATCGGTTCTTTCTTTAACTTGTATTTGACCTGAGGCTGCAGTATCTTAGAATGCTAGCAGTGGCGTATGAGAAGACACAAGAACTTGCTAGAGACCTACGAGCTGTGGGATGTGGTGACTTGGACGTCGAGGGTAATGAATTAACTTGAAATCTAGCTCCTTATTTATTTGTTTTCTCAATGCAGAGTACTTGTGTGACTATTATGGTACTAATGGTTAATATAAGGTAACCATGTGGCTTTTAGCCAAAAATAAAAGGCTTGTGGATTGTGTTTTGGAGCAATTGACACTGAAAAGATTAATTGGGAAACAAAGATAGGCAGCACTCGAGATGCCTGATATGGTTTAAGAAACTTCAATTTCTTATATTGTTGAGTTAATCTACTGTGGGGTTCTAACTAGATGGTTCCAGACTGGGTTCCTTTTGCCTCCAATGTACTTGGACTTTGCCCCTTTTTTATTTATTTATTTATAAAGATGTTTTTATTTATTAAAATAGCAGAAATTGCCATTCTTTAACAAATCCTAGGCTCACAGCCAACAAATATTTACCTGTACCATCTTACTTGGTGAGAATGTTTGCATTCAGTCAGTCCTCATTTTGCTTTGGTTGGAATTGCTTCATTCTACTTATCTACTCGGGGATTTTCATAGAAAGTTCCTCTGATGGTGCAGGCCTCACAGAGTCTCTATTTTCTTCTCACAAGGATGGATATCCTGAACATGAGCAGGGCTCTCTTAGACAACTATATCAAGCTAAGGTTTGCATCAAATGCATCATCTCTTGACCAAGCTTCAACTCTCATTCGGTGTTGGTGGTAACAATCCATAACATGCATTACTCTTTGCAGATGGCAGAACTACGTGCTGAAAGCCAGCAAATATCTGAATCAAGTGGAACAATTGGGCGTTCAAAAGGGGCTGCAGTAGCATCTTCCCACCAGCAAATATCTGTCACTGTTGTGACAGAGTTTGTCCGTTGGAATGAAGAAGCAATTACCAGATGCACATTGTTTTCATCTCAAGTAATGTTTGTTGTTTCAAGGGATTCTACATATGATTACTCAGGAGTTTTCAACTTTTATCTAATGACTTAGGATTCGGGAAAAATGTTTGCCTAGTATGTTTTAAAGTCCGGAAGAAACATATTTATAATTATGCCCCTAAGTTTTGCTTTGACAGTGTTCGTGTAGTGTTACTTCTGTTCTCCCCAACATTGGGGTCTACCTTTTCTTTTTCTCTTTTGGCATTATCAGGTTAACATGCATTAACAGAGTTCCTTTGTTTAATGTTGAAATTGGAGATTTGTTATGAGGTGTTTTAAAATCTATCTGCACACGGAGATTATGAATTTGAAGACATAGTTGTATGAAAATCATGCTAAAAGGAGCTTTTTCCCCTGTGGATAAGTAGGAAATTCACCTTCATTGGTGCATTAGTCAGGTACATGTTATGCTGATGATATAAAACAGATAATTGGGAGATGGGCAAACTCATTAAGGGCAGGAAAATAGGGGGGAAAACAATGTCCTTGTAGATGGTAAAATTGGGGTTTGAATTGTACTGGATTTATATAAAGTATCAGATATTATACCAGTTTTTCAAATTGATTTTTTACATGTTGTACAGCCTGCAACCCTTGCAGCAAATGTGAAAGCAGTCTTCACTTCCCTGCTAGACCAAGTAAGTTGGTGCTTAGATAGAGGGTTTGATCAAATTTTGGTTCATACAGGTTCAGTTTTTATTTTTATTTTTAAATTGTCAAAGAAAGAAATTCAGGAATGTTTTTAACATTTCAGGTCAGTCAATATATAACAGAAGGTCTTGAACGAGCAAGAGACAGCCTGACTGAAGCTGCAGCTTTGAGAGAAAGATTTGTGCTGGGCACTAGTGTTAGTAGAAGGGTAGCTGCTGCTGCTGCTTCTGCTGTACTTACCTTATCGTATACTTTTTGTTGCATTCTAAATTGTGAACTATAGAATGTAGTTATATTTTAAATAAATGTATAGTCTACCCAACACGGTGGACTTAAGGGATATGAATGGCTGATGTGTAGGCAGAAGCTGCTGCTGCCGCTGGTGAAAGCAGTTTCAGATCTTTCATGGTTGCTGTACAACGCTGCGGTAGTAGTGTGGCTATAGTTCAGCAAGTATGTTTCTGGATTGCCATTATCTAAATGCTTTGAATGTTGCTTTGAATGGAATGACCTGGTATGTTTTGAGAGCTTAAATTGATTGTCATTTTTCTCTCCAGTATTTTTCAAATTCTATATCTCGGCTTCTACTCCCTGTCGATGGTGCACATGCTGCTTCATGTGAAGAAATGGCAACGGCTATGTCCAGTGCAGAGAGTGCTGCATATAAGGGGCTTCAACAGTGTATTGAAACTGTGATGGCGGAGGTTAGTTATTGAATTGTAGATCTGCTATTTAGATTCTAGGGTTAGGCATGTATACTTCATAATTCCACCCCTTTAGTATCAATTAAGTATAGTATTGGTTTGTCTTTTGTGCTAGGTGCTGCTCTACATGTGTGTACACTTGTTCTTGTTGATTCTTGTGTTTCTTGAATATGTATTTTGCTCTCTATGTCAATTCCTCCATCTCTCATCTTTTTCCTATTGTGAAATTCCTACTATCCAGGTGGAGCGGTTACTTTCTGCTGAACAGAAGGCAACAGATTATAGATCACCTGAAGATGGATTTGCTCCTGATCACCGGCCAACAACTGCCTGTACAAGGTACAACCGATGAATAATTAAAGCCTATCTTAATGGCTCCTGAAAACTTGTCATTTTAATTTGTCCTCTTGCAGACGTGTTGTTTCTTGATGTTGAATAACATATCTCTCTTCTCTTGTCTAGAGTTGTAGCGTATCTTTCTCGTGTATTAGAATCAGCATTCACAGCACTTGAAGGTCTTAACAAACAAGCCTTTCTGACTGAATTAGTAAGTAGTTCATTTGTGGTTTGATTTATGTGATTCCATTCCTATGCTAGCTCTTTTGCAGTCATAGATTTAGAATTAGATTGAATACTGTAGAATAATTGTCAAGTGCCCTGAATTCATTGAGTAATTGAAAGGTGAACTGCATATTGCATGGCCATGAACACGGCAAGAATGCTTTCAACTAATATATGATACAGTGAGAAATGGTTGTATCAAAATTCATTGAACACAAAAAAGGAAAAGAAAAAATCAGAACAATTGCATTATACAAGGCCTTTCACATTATCTCTTTGTGGCAAGTGTTAGATCAATTATGATATTATGCACAAAGATTGCCAAACATAATTATGCAGTTTATGATATTTCTCATTGTCATTCTCTTATTGTAATATGCATGTGGTATTAACTCAATATTTTTGGGTTTGGCTGCCATGGTTAGGGAATTTGTAGTGATAATATAGTGATGATGAATCTTGGCACCTTCACATTTGAATTTATATTATGGTGAAAACTTTTACTAGGGAAACCGCTTGCACAAAGGGCTGCTAAATCATTGGCAGAAGTTCACTTTTAATCCCAGGTAGGTGGACTTTCTCATAATATGTTTTGTGGCCTGCTAATTAGTTGAAAGTTTCACATCACGTAACTTGTACTAATTGTTTCTTTGTTTCTCAGTGGAGGACTGCGGCTGAAGCGTGACATAACTGAATATGGAGAATTTGTGCGTAGTTTCAATGCTCCTTCCGTTGATGAAAAATTTGAATTGCTGGGCATGTAAGTTTCCAAGAAATTGCTAGATTTCCAGCTTCTATTCTTGTTGATATTTTGAATCTGAATGTAATGATGAGCTTTTTCTGCAGAATGGCCAATGTGTTTATTGTTGCTCCTGAAAGCCTCTCAACTCTGTTTGAGGGTACCCCCAGCATACGGAAAGATGCACAGAGGTATCAGTTCGAACATATTGAACTGTGGACTGTAAAAACACTCTTAGAACACACATGCAGACACACATGAAACTCATTTTTTCCTTCCAATTAAAGAAGAGAGATGCTTTCCAATTGATGGAAAGTTTCCAAATTTCTCGACTTATTTTTTAAAACATCCAGAAAGAAATACACTAGTATCAATTCAGCATGAAGTTGTTTTGTCAGAGTCAAGGTTTTCTGTTGGTTGAGATAAAATTTTGATTTGGATCGGAAATCAGGTTTATTGAGCTTAGAGAGGACTACAAGAGCGCAAAGATTGCTGCCAGACTTAGTTCCTTGTGGACAAGTTCCAGTTGATACCGAATCAGTGTGCTGATTAGATATGACCTCCCAAATTTTAATTCTCATCCGGCTGTTGCTGAGCTTAGAAAAATGGCACATCAAGTTGAATTCATCTGGAGGCACGGACGCCAAGCAAAGGAACCAATTCAAATTAAATTAACTGTCTGGTTAAGGAGCTCATCTTTGGACAGATAATTGAATACATAAATTGTTCTTCTTTCCAATTCTGTTGAGTGTATATTTTTGAAGGTATAAATAGGAGGACCTGAAAGATTTGTATTATTTTAGGGCTTGAATTTATTTGCTAGGGTTGCAACTTCCATTTGACAATATGAGGATATGAATCATATGATGTACCCGTGTTTTGCCTTTTGTAAATGATACTTTCAGGAAATAATTTAAGACAACCAAAGATTGAATTTGTGAATGCTTTGCTTGTTTCTTTATTTCAGCTCAGACTATATTTCATTTAAACGTAATTGGGGCTTGTAGCTCAAGTGGTTAAGAGCATTTATCTTTGCACCCATGGTCTTAGATTTTAGGTTTGATTCTCCTCTTCTCCAATATCGCTTGGATCCAAAAAACCAGAAAAAAACGTGTGATAGGGCTCTACTGTTGTCTGTAATTAGTCAAAGGGCACAAAAAGGAAGGTATAAAGTTCAAGTTGATGATTTCACTCCCAAGTCCATGAATCACATGTAGGAATGAAGGAAAAAGAAAAAGTTATGGCTAGTGATGGAGATATTCATCCATGGCCCCGCTCTTTGTGGTAGGCTTCCTCCTATATTTTTGCTGGCTAGGCACCCTCCTTCTCCCCCTTTCCTTATTAAGTGCTCTCTCTCTCTCAAGAGAAACGGTGATTGATGTAGAAAGTTTAGTGGGGGTGGCTAGTAATGGATTACCCATCTCCTCTGATAGCAAATGTGTCTATCTATAATCTATCACTTAAATGTCCTTGTGCCAAACCCATTATAAAACCATCTGCCTATCTTAGGATAGGCCAAGACATAAATAAAAAATAAAAAAATAAAAAATAAAAAACACCAAAGAATGATGAAATGAAACACCAGGTGCCAAAAGATACTGAATATCCCAACAATCATCAAAATTTTTGTGGTTGTGCGTTGCTTGCTATGGCTTCTCATACTTGTCAAGCCCTACCTTTTTCAAGTCTCTATTATTTTGACCCATAAGCCAAAGTCATAGCAAGCAAGCAAGCAACTCAAAAATCTCAATATCCCTCTCAACATATCCACAGCCCCAAATGGATAGAAACAAACAAGCAGAAGAGTTAATAGCGTGTTACGTGTATCCTTGACCATTGACCACCCAAAATGGAGATTGAACCAAAAAAAATATATATTAACCCAAAACCACCAGAAAGATTTTTCATTCAAAGTGCTTCACAGCTTTGCATGAATGTTAATACGTTACCAAGTGTTGTGTTGTGGATGGAGAGAGAGAGAGAGAGAGAGAGAGAGAGAGAGAAAGAAAAGTGTTGACGGCAGGTTTGTGTCATAATTAAGTTGTGGATGGATGGTGGTGGGTGGTCCAAAGTCTAGAAATGCCTCCCCTGCCCTGCCTTCAACATGAACCATCATTATCAATAGCTCCGGTTTCACTTTATTTTATCGGCCTAATAAACTGGATTTGATCTTATGAGCTCCTACAAGTACCCATCTCTCAAAATAAAGAGATGATGGAGGGAAACTTGTTTGGTATGAAAACTATAAGAATTGGAAAGGATTTCATGCACCTACACCAATCAGTCAAGTTTCAACATAAACAACCGGGAATGCTAGCTACCTTCAATTTTTTTATATTTTTTATTCACATTCTCATTCTGCAATGTTGTATTATGTTCAAAAACGTTTACTTTGTAGGTTATTTCTGCAAAAAAATAAAACTTACTGAAAATCATTTAGTCATTTGATTAATAATATGGTTTTTTTTTTTTAATACAAGCGATTGGGGGAGAGAAGTGTTTAGTTAAAATCAAACCTAAAAGATTAGACAGTTTCGATTATTAAACCAAATTTCATGATGAAAATGAGATGGTAGAATGTAGAGGGCAATGTACAAAGATAAAGGTATCTAGTATTCCTCATCAAATACCTAATCAAGTAAATATGTAGGAAAATAACCCTCTATGTAATGTAAGGGAAATAAACTTTACATCTGTCTTGTAGATGTTGTTAATCGTGCACGTGGGTATATGCGTATCTAACTATACGTCTAGAACAAAGATTCAAAATAAGATAAACCTATTTTATGCCAATTTGGGTCTTCCCCAGTTGTCAAAGTCAACACAATCAAATTGTTTTAAATTAATTAAAAACAAATGCAAATGGAATGGGATGATGGGCAACCCAAAATCTAGTTCAACTTGAGTCATTTGAAGAGGTCAGCTGACCAAATGCTTGCCGTAACCCTCAAAGTTGGGGGGCTTGTAGCTTTGTATACACTTCCCTCATTTTTCCTATTTTTGTTTTTTCTTTCTTTCTTTCCCACCGCAATTTCTTTAAATTTTAACATTGGAGACACTGACCCCACACGCTTACAATTCAATGCCTCGTGCCACCCACGTCTTGGCACCAACCTCACATGCACTTCGTTCAACTCACCATCTCCATCTTAGTGAGTCGCACTCTATCACCGCATTTTTTTTCAGTATATTCTCTACACTATTCTTCAACCTCCACCGTTGGATTGATTCGACAAAGAGAGATATTAGACCCACATTGAATTACAACATTATGACTTGTCAAGAGTGTAAAATTACTTTTTAAGATAATAACAGCTCGTGACATGTTGGTGTTTCGAATTCAGTCAAACTATAAGATTTGGTGAATTTAATTACGGATAATGATTTCTTCTTAGTACGTCTCTCGAGATAGAAGTCATGCCCTATATAGCTAATCATATGTTGCATGTCGAAGCTTCTTGGAAAGTTTAGTATTAACGATTGCACACATATGTTATAATTTGAGTGATTTGTAACGTTATATTGATATCTCATGTGATGATACTGTGCTCTCACGTGATTTATTTAGAGAAAATTATTGCTAGCTGGCATGCCTCGTCAGCTTTCCTGCGCCGTATATCTACAGTTGCAATGTTGTCTCAGTGTGAATCCCCTCCCGTAGCCGTCGGATCATCTTACTATGCCTTTGGTCGTCGAGCCGTTAGATCAGCGCTTGGACTTTGACTCCTTGATGGCGGCATTATTGGGCACACCGTACTCGCTCGAAGGAGATAGAAATACAAACTCGCTGTGGACGGGCGATACGTGGAGGTATAACTTGAGAGCACCGCTACCTGGAACCCATGTGCCGGTCACGAGCGTTATGGCGTGGGAAGGTGCTCCTTTGATGAAGAAAGTGGGGACAGGGAGAGTACAGAAGAAACAAAGGCATCAAAACCCAAAAAGAGGGGAACAGATGCTGCTTCTGCTGCTGCTCCTTTTTGATATAGAAATGGAATTCTACAGCCCCAATGCACAAGTACAACAAACACATTTCCTTATCGAATTAAAATCAAATAATTGGGTAAAACACCTTTAAAAGTGGGGGAATGAATTGATTATGAAAAGTTTAAACCTACTATTTTACTTAATTAAATCATGCAATCCTTTTATGTTTAGTTAGATGTGTTCCTCACTTTATTCAGGATACTGTGTTTATTGATTCTATGAATATGAATCATGTTTCATGCCTCTTAGTTGTATTTTTTGATTTTCAATAAATAAGTTCTCGTACTTTCAAAACTTTGCTATAATACGTTCTCTAAAAACGAATCATTGGGTAAGTAATTCTCAATTTTTTTTTTTTGGTCAGCATTGACCTTGAAAAATCAATTGTGGTTTGGAGGGATTTGAAACAAATTTGAATGCCAATCATTCAAATGATTCAAGGGTGTCACACCATAGATTTTTACGTTCAATAGTAATCTAGTGATAAAAACTTTTCAAATTAGATTGATGAACAATTTTAAGTCTTTTGGGATCCTTTGTGAGTCAATTTTGATATTTAGGATTGACCATGATCATATTATATTTAAGGGGGGGTGTTCATTGATTTATATTCGAAATACTATTAGGATCCAATCTAATTTCAATTGAATTAAATGGTATTTGATGATTGATTTGTTGTCAAAACAGAAAATTATTCAAACAAAACAAAGTTGTCATGAAATCAAACCACAAATTTTGGTAAAATTAGATGCGATGCAGCAATGAATTGGAGACCTAATTGAATGCCAAAGCAGCATCAAAGCATTGGTTTCTTAAATTAGAAGGGTCTTAATAAAATGCCACAATCATGGAAATTGATCATACTAAATCAAAGCTTGATTGAACTGATTGATTCAGAATTCATTTAATTACATGTTAAAACATCCCTAATAAAAACACTAATCTGTCATTTTTCCCAAGATTACGGATAGGGCACGTAAGCAGGAGGAGGGCGCAATTTAGGCTTTTGTAATTCTTTACCTACCCACTAAAAAATCTTTGCAATACCACCAAGCAAGCATTTTTGACAGGAGCGCCCAAATTAACTGGCTTCCACTTTTCCATTATTTATTTATTTATTTTTATTATAAAAAAAGTTGAAATTTTTTTTTTAAATTTATTATCTCTTTCTCCTTTTGTCGGTATAACTCACGAGCTCCACTCGCTATATACCGTGTGGAACTTTTCCTTAATCAAAACCCGCTTTGACATTTGAGCAAGTCAACCCCAAAACCGAAAACCAGTTTTCCCCATTTGAATTTCATTTTTCATTTCCTTTTTCTTTTTTTCCTCTCTCTCTCTCTCTCTCTCTCCAAAAGCAAAACAATGCATAGAGATGCCTTCTTCCTCTCGCCCTTTCTCTCACTAGGAAAACCACTTGTTTTCAGGCACCCTTTAGACTTTTGTGCATAAAATCCCACTGTCCCTCTCTCTCTCTCTCTATATATACATTGTTTATATAATTCCTCTCCTACTCATCACACCCTTATCATCTCTCTCCCCTCTCTCTTACCAATAAAAAGTCAGCGCCTTCTTTTGTTTGCCTCCTCCTTTCTTTGTCCTCAAACAGTGATAGCTAGCAGACACAAGGTACAGATTCAGAAACCTTGTCTCTCTCTCTCTCTCTCTCTCTCTCTCTCTCTCTAAATGGAAGACGATTGGGATCTTCAGGCGGTGGTCAGAGGCTGCTCCACCGGCACAACCACCAGCAACAGAAGCACAGCCACCACCAACAGCAACAACAGCACATGCTTCAAAATCTCGAACTTCCATTCAAGCCCTGCTTTTTCTTCTTCATTTGGAACCGCTACTCTGCAGCCTGGCCTACAGCAACAACAATTCCAAGTGCTTTTCTCTCTTCCAGATCCCATTAAACCCAGAAATGCCATGGAGGACTTGCATGAGCTTTACAAGCC